AACACGCACAAAAAGACATTTTCTAAAAATAAATCCTAGCTAGATCGATTTATTGCCCCCGAAACTCCCTGGACACTAAATTTTATGAAATTCAAGAATTGCTCGTTTAAAGGTATAGGATAATAGAACGGGGGAGTGGGTGGAACCCGTTAGCCACTAACATGTCAATTCACACCTATAAATGTCAACACAATCAATCGTTTTCAATTTTCGTGTCAAGCGTTGCTGCATGCAAATTATTTAAAAAATGGCAAATTGTGAAATAATTATGTGTCGAAAAAACAGCGGAAAATGGAATTTAAATAAAGGAGACATATCCTACAACCGTTAAGTCGAAACTATTTATATTATGTGAATATTAGAAATAAAAATAAAGAAATATTGATTTGTCAAAAACATTAATCAAAAGTCTAAAATAGGTAAATTAGTTCAGTCTGTCAACACAGCGAATCGGGTTTGTAGTAGTGATAACTAATAATACGACGTAATTGCTTGTACTCGTATGTGTGCTCCCGGCGACGCAGATCCTCGTACAAAATAAAGTTGACAGCTATTATAATGTGTATTATAGTATTCTATGTTCTCTATAACTTAGGACGACAACACTGCAGTGAAAGCATAGCTTTTTAGCGATTGAATTAGGTAAGAGGATAGCTTCTACCCAGACAACCCTGAGCAGGAAACGAGTACCACCACCTGTTACAGCTTAAATTAAAAAAAAACTATCACTGGTAATCTGACCCTAACACAAATACAATCAATCATCCATTTTGCCAATTATTTAAAAATCAACATCTATTCAATAACTTGCAATGTAGTGGCAGCATAAAAAGGGAATTCACAATCCTATATTATCCCGTCAATCTCACAGGATGTATCTGAGGAAAACTGTAAGAGGAGATGCAGAGCAGCAACATCTTCCTTATTACAACTTAATATTAAAAAAAACCTGCGGTTGAAAAGACGCTTAGCAAGCAACTATATGCCAATGTTCGTCGCTGAACTTCTGATGCGCTACAATTAATAAATGAATGAATACAATAACATCTTTCATAAATCAGAGCAGCGTTCAATATCTCCCAAGTGATCGAACAATCTCCAAAGGGGTGTAGGTACATAGTACATTTAGTTATTGTAGTTTAAACTGCAGGGTCTGCCGTTTGGACGGCGGCCAAGATCTTAACTTAATAACGGGTGTATGACTTCGAACATTGCGCAACGCGTCTAGAATTTCATCTTGATATAATTTCTCCCCTAATGAGTATTACGGGAATTTATGAAAATAGCTCTGCAAAATTGGTTTTCTGTTTTCTTTCACACGCCATGAAAATAAATCCATTAAAACATTTGATTGTACTCGTATTTCGTCTCGTATTCATATATCGTGCAATGTAACAATGCTGTCGTAGCAATCATGATCTCCATTATAATAAAATGTCCACTGTTGGACATAGCTGGACAGAAAACACGGTTCTGAGCCACCGATACCCACCGGCTTGCTGCATGATGACGATGATGTATATGTATCAAAGAGTATATGAACACTACGAGAAGAAGAAATCATCATGGTCCCTATTTCGCAACTTTACTTGTAATCTAATTACATGAAAGCCTAAATGGTCTTTATGGTATTATTTAAACAAACTTAGTAATCCTCATAGACAGACGTAGTAGATATTTTGATACGTTAGAATAACTTATACTTGGTGGTAGATAACCTCTGCAGACAATGGATATTTACAAAAATTTTTAATCAAGGAGGATATGGATGTCGTTATCTACAACAACTACGATGGAATGCCTCAGAGCCCTAATAATAGAGCAAAGAAATGGTTGTACCCACTCGGATCAATTCCTAGTCCAAAGAAGAGCTCTATGAAATTGGAAAGACCATTTTCTATATCTCTTTCTATTACGCATGGGGTTTCCAAATAAAATTCCTTGACGGCACATTGTTTTGATATTTTGTAAGAGGGTTAATTATTTATGTATAGATAGAATTAAGTATGTATAGATGTTGCCTGGATTTGACGGCTCAGTTTTCGTCTGTTACATTTAGGAAGCTTTATCCAAGATGTGACCAACGTATTACATATAGCGTACATGGAGACCAACATATACATGTAGCTTTGTTTTAATCAAATGAAGTTAAAACACAGCTTTAAAACACAACTGTTAACACTCGTCTTTTCTCGCTACGTTACTTTTTCTTTCCTTGAAATCTTCAAATCTTCTTTATTTTAACTGTCATTACTGACTAAGGCCTGTTTTTACAGCACCAGGCAGCTGCTCAGACTTTGGTGAGTGATCGCCTTCTATTTAGCATTTTTCCCACTAATCTATTTTCAACTTCTCTTACTCTAAATATGCTCCGCTTGTTTTTAACAATTCTAAAGCTTCAAATATAACAAGAGACGTATTCTTTTACACTGCAACAAACTTAAGCTATGATTCTAATTTAAAGTAAGTAGTAAATATTGTGGTGACATTCATAATTACTGCTTAATACCACACAAAAAGTGTTTATTTTTTTGCATGTATTATTTATTATTGTTTATTTTTAAATTTTGCAGGAGTTTTACTCTACATTATTTTTATTGCTTGCATTTGCTTTTGTCTTGTAAATTTGTATGCACATGACTCATTTTTTTATTTCACTCCTTTCTTATACATAATACTTTTCCTCACAATACGTACGTCCCTCGATGAGTGTAAATATGAAATAAAGTATTAAGTAGTGTCACAATGAAAATGGTTATTATATGTAAATAAAATGATCATAGAAGAAATATCTTAAACTTCTAAGGCTTCAATAAATATGTACACAGTGAATGTACTATCGTAGCAAAGAAATGTATGCAATAACTGTGCACGTGCTTGATATTGGCGAGTTAATGATAAAACACCTCATTATAATAGTGAAACAGGCAGAATGTTCTTTGATTAAATATAATTTTGCACTAATCTAAGATCACAACGTAATCACTACGTTTAGTGAAGTTGTGATTAATCGATTAGCGATTTCATAAACTATGAACTTGTATTATTTATTTACCCATGTTTTTAACTATTATAAGATAGTGTTTGAATACTACCCCACCTGATGAAATGTGGTGATTTAGTGACATCAGGTAAAGCACAATTACTTAATTTAACAAAAGCCTTCTAGCTTTAAAGATACCCATATTGCAATCGGATGGAAAGACAGATTCTGGCTAATTATTCCTCTCTATTGTGATTTTTCATTACAAACGGCGAAGAATACTTAAAATGGACTGTCAAGAAATATAATGAATAGCTAATTCGTGATCGCGTGCACTACAACCCTAAATCATAGTTAACCAAATACCCATAGTCCTGTCAAGATGGACACGGTGCTATTAGAAATGTTAAACGAATGTCGTTTATATATACTGAGTCATATTTGCTAAATATTGAAGATTGTGTATTTTTGGATTTAAGGCAATACAGCATATTTATTTATTCTATTCAGTATATAAAAACCGGCCTAGAGCGTGTCGGGCCACGCTCAGTGTAGGGTTCCGTGGATTCTCGTCCGTCACAATAAGTGTTCCCACTTATGAGTTTAAAGGTGGGTATCCATTGTCGCTCCACACCTCCCGCTCCTGCAACCGCTTCCGGTAGTGGGTACTGTGGTTTCCATCCAAGTTCAAAATGATTTTCCTATAAAGTCCTTATAAAGTCCTACTTTTCAGATTTTTTTCATATTTTTTAAACTTATGGTTCAAAAGTTAGAGGGGGGACAAATTGTTTTTAATTTCAAAAAATGATTTTAGTAAACCCCTATTCATTTTTAAATACCTTTCCAATAATATGTCACACGTTACGGTTGAAATTAAAAAAAAAAATCACTTCCCACTTTACATATAGCGGGGCTACCCTAATAGAATATTTTTTTCCAATTTTTATTTTACCACTTTGTCGGCGTGATTGATACACATATTGGTACCAAATTTCAGCTTTCTAGTGCTAACGGTCACAGAGATTAAGCGAGGACGGACAGATGGACAGACAGTCATGGCGAAACTATAAGGGTTCCTACTTGACTACGGAACCCTAAAAAACGAGAGAGTTCGCAATATATATTTTACTCGGAAAAAATAAAATTAAAATGATTGTTAAGCGCAATTAGGTAATTCAATAAATTTTATATTTGTTGTGCTATAAATTTTAACAAATACGAGACGCAGAGTCCACCGGACTAAATTGAAGTGAACTGTCGTAAACTGTCGATGAAATTAAAAAGTAAACTTTTATATTACTTAAACAGAATAAAGTTATTGTAGCTCAGATGAGCACTGAGTTACAATTTCATGGTACAGCAAATTGAGTTCGCTGACTTACTACGTGCTTAGCGAATTAAGAAAACTTAGTGAGAAAATTAGCAAGTGATTGCCCTGAAACCACAACAGAATGCAATTAAAGTAAGTATTGGAACGTATGTTGATTTTAAAACGTGGAAAAATAATTTCTAATCATGATGCAGGATGTTTATTCCATTAATACTGTGATATCACTATGGACGTGAAATCAAAGTAGGACTGGAAAAAGAGAATGCATTACTCATTTTAATCTCGGATTTGTAAACTAAAAGAAAAGTTTTTTTAAAAAGAAAGAAGAAAGAAAAGCAAAAGCTACTAAAAGATCGTAGTTGACAAATGACACCTAGAAAAAAAGGAGCATAAAAATCTTTATTTTCTCTACTAATGTTAGTTTTTTAAGTAACGTAAGCTAAATTATGTAGGTATTTAAAAGTGGCATTACTTTATGAATTGACATTACTATATCATTAAGATGGATTTGTGTTTCTTATTACCAAAAAAGTCACTGTAGTACAGAACCTTATTTTATTTTATTATTAAAATAAATGGTCTAAACTAATACACATGTAAAAATATTTACACCCAAAGTTAACAACAAAATTCTCAAAAATTTCTTACCAAAATCCATTATAATTATATTAAGCGCAAAAACTAAATTTAAGTATTTACATTATTAGTCGTATCTGTCCAACAAAATCTAGGAGGAATTCTGTTCGGACGATCTGGTTTGACCCCTAATTGACTAGATGCAGCATTCAAATGTATAGTAGCGCTATCACCGTAACCTACGTTTTCATTTTTATTGTCTCTTTCATTATTTTGGTAATTTGGAGACATTGTTATGACAGCACTTTTAGTAATCATTGGCTTTATGGTATCTCTTTCATAATATTCCTCATCATCAGTGATGGTTCCTTCTTTTAGTTCAGTCAAGTCTCCTGCTAATTCTTCTAATCTAGATGCTTTAGATGATATGTTTTTTGGAGACATAATTATTTTCATAGTTTTATCAGAATACCTCATAATTTTATTTTCAATGTTACCTAGAATTTGTACCATATGATCTAACTTTTGCGTGTTTGAAGCCAGCATTTTTTTCATAGTTTCCAAGTCTTTAGATAAGGGAATGTTTAGTTCATTTAAATGTTCTTTAAAAGAGTTTATAACTGGCGCTCTTAAACTTTCAATGAATTTATTTTTTTCTGAATCGTTCATTAAACTTATTTTAATTTCAACTTGATTGGAAGCATTTACTTCTGTCGCTATAGCCTCAAGTGACTCTGATGGATTACCTTTTAGTCTTGCATCATGTTTACGTTTTCTTTTATCCAGTGGTATTTTATTTGGATCGTTATCGAAAGATTCTGAGAGCGAAAAGTTGGAACTTTGATTTATATGAAATTCATCTAAAGTATTATCTGGAGATGAATGACTACTAACATCCACTGCACTATAAACCCTCACTTTCTCTTCCTTTGCCTTTTTCGCTACGGCTTTAGGCGTAATTTTGTTAAATTTATTACAATGTTCATTATTTATACCGGAAAATTTTGAAAGTTTTTTTCCGAGTTTCTTCGATGTTTTTATGGTATAAAATACGGATGTCGGAGAATATTCTCTACTTGGGGGTATTACGCGTGGAATTATGTTTTTAGCAAATTTAACTGTTTGCTCTATCATGGAGTCATCGTGAAGACTTGCACGATTTTTTTTCTTTTCATTGGAATACTTTTTTGTACATTTTTTTGTTTCAAACTGCTGACTTTTATCGTGCATACCTTGTTCAACAATATCGACTCGTGGTTTAACGTCGTGAGGCGATTTTTCATTTGTTTTACTTTTAGGTAAGAATTTCTTATGCACATAGACGTATGTATTATAAAATTGGTGATCAAGAAAATAATTATCCAAATTGATCTCTGCGTTTTTTGCGGATGCTGAGTCTGCAAAATGATATAAATTATGTATTTGCATTTTTAGCTTTAGCTAAATTGGACATTTTCAGATATTAAAACATGATGAAAAAAGCCTTTGACGTAGGCAATCTGCTTCTATATTTTCTTAATTATGTTATTTTAGTTGAGGTTTATATTGAACTATATAACTAACTGAAACATAGGTTTTAATTAACTTGTGTTTTAGCAGAAATAAAATAATACCTAAGTTATTTAATAACATATATGAAGACAAGAAGGCCAATTTTAAATTAAGCATTTTATACTTACCAGTCGCCATTTAATTCAATAATGACTTACTCTTCATATGTAACTCATAATTAGTGATAATTCCAAAGTTGAAATTATTTGTAAATATATAAATTATTCCTTAAAATATTGTTGTGAATAGATGTTGTTTTTAAATTAACAGATTGAATCGATAGAAAAACACTAGATCCAATGTCACATTGACACTTGTGTCAACTTTTTTGTTAAATATAATCACTAAAGGTATTGATTATATTCTTTTTGATTTTATCACAAATGCTACAATACTAAAACTTTATTGATTACAGAAACATTTAAAAATATCTATTATTTGTTTAGTAATCAATCTTAGGGCTAGTTTTTCAGTCGTCAGATAGAAGGTATCCATCAAAAGGTTTATAATCTGTGATTGGATGAATATTAAGTGTGAGTTACTTTATTCATACAACTATAGGTTTTTTATTTTTTTATCAATACATATACATAATATCTTTAAAAGCTTTATTTATTGAAAAGAATTTAAAAATGTTTAATTTTTTTAACTCACTTAAAATGATTGATTATAATGTTGACTTTTGATAGGGAAATAGAGAGTGATTAATTTCTTAAGGTAATTAAATTGTACTTGTTTTGTCGCTCTCGACTTCCCTATCAAAAGACTTCATTGTCAACATTATTATCAATCATTTTAAGTGAGTTAAAAAAATTAAACATTTTTAAATTCTTTTCAATAAATAAAGCTTTTTTACATTCATATTTCACATCATGATCACAAAATGCTGAGCATGATTTTAAAATTAATCTAAAATAAAAATAACAATACGACTTCATAAAATAAAAGGAATGAAATAATTTCTCCATAATAGTTTCTGGAGTCGCCACTAAGAAGCTGCTTAAGATATTAAGCAGTGATTTTTTATAGAATAAGGGGACAAACGAGTACAAAGTCTACCTGATATATTAAGTGGATACTGTGGCCCATAGATATCTACATTTAACTTCGATTAAAAATCAAAATGCAGATGCGTTGTCACCCCTGAGGACTAAGATGGAATGCCCCGTTTCCAGTAAAAAGAGTCTTCAGTTCTCTACATTCATCATACGAAACACAGCAGCATTAAGCTGCTATTTTACGCTAGTATTTTGTGAGCGCGTGGTCCTTCCTCGGTCGAGCCGATCCATTCTTGCTATAACCGTAATACAGCTGCAGCGTGGCTGTACCAAGTAGTAAAGCATGCGCTGCTATTAAGCGGATGCAATATGCTAGATGGTGGTACCCGCCCAGATGGACTCCTAGACAGAAAGGGAGTCCTATCATCCAGTACTATAATAATCATTAGGATACCAGTAAGAATCAGCACGTGGAAAACTGATTTTATTTAACGTAATAAGTTGTCAGTAGATCAACAATGATATATGGTAGCTACGCACGCTATCTAGAAAATGTAATTCGTTCTCACTGTCCATTTTCCGAATGACACTCAATATTTTCGCTGCCTCATGTTACGAATTGTTTTTGATGGAATGAAAAATGGGTTTATGCTTTAGGTAAAAGGACGTCCAAAAAGGTAAAAGAAATAAATCGAATAAATAATTGGTCACCGGACACAATGTTTTTGAAAGATAATTGGCCTGTCACATTTGGATTGGAAGACGCAGCTATTTCGGTTGGATGTTATTACGTATATAAATGTAATTTAAGCTGAGCTATAAGTTCACTACATACATAGGTCACAGCAATATCAGTTAGAAATGTGACTAGATTATTTGGCTGCTGAATTAGTAACTATTTTTTATGGAATGAAAGTAATAAAAGAGCACTCAGTCCACATGATGGTATGTGGATACTGTGGCCCATAAACATCCTACATCTTTGGTTAAGAATCAAAATGCAGATACGTTGCCAGATGCCTACCCCTGAAGAATTAGGTGAAATGTCTCGTTTCCAGTAAATATTGTTTCCGTTTCTCCACACTCACCATACGAAATACAGAAATAATGAGTTGCCATTTTACGCCGGTATTCTGAGAGAGAGTGGTTCTTCTCCGGTCGAGCCGACTCATTCGTGCCACAACCATAACATATTCTTTTCACCATTCTTAGCTCATTATCCCTGATCGTAAGTTTATCCTGATGCAGCCAAATATGGTAAAGTGCACTGAATTCACAAAAGCCTATTCACTCTTGCCTTGAAGAAATTCACATTATAATCGGATGGAAGGACATCCTGGAAACATAACCACTCCTTTGCTGTGCTTCATCGTTGGTTACGAACCAATGATGAAACAAACCTTTTGGTTCGAATGCGTTGTAAGTCAACAACGAAAAGTGTTTACCAAAAGATGAAATATGGTGAACGAAGCCTTAGGGAATAAATGTTAAAAAGGTACCAGCCCTTTAACTAATACTTAGTGACTGTTTGACTAGTATTCAACTAAGTAGACGAATCAGTATGTTAAGTGCCGTGAATTCAATAGAAACGAACGAATCTGAATAGACCGTATTAGAATATCCACTACCCCATATCGTCCCGTGAGTATCGTAGGAGAGAAACAAACCAGGAGTTTTTTAATAGAATAGCGTGACAAACGAGCACGCAGTCCATCTGATGGTAAGTGGTTTCCTGTGGCCAATAGACATCTACATCTATCCTCGATTACGAATTAAAATGCAGATGAGTTGTCACTCGTAAGTACTAAGATGAAATGCCTCATTTCCAGTTAAAAGGGTCTCAGGTTCTCTACAATTACAGCAGCATTGATTTGCCATTTTACGTTGGTATTCTGTGAGAGAGTGGTCATTCCCCAGTCGAGCCGACCAATTCATACTACAACTATACTACTTATATTGTTGTAGCATGGCTCTACCACATATAAAGTTGGACATTTCTTCTTCCTAATACTACAACAAATAAAGAATACAAAATAAAAACTTCGGTTTACCAAACTGCCTGGCAAGCGTGGCAACGATGGCAGATATCCTACCTGTGAGCTAATCTAAGGAAGCGTGTGTTCAGTAGTGAACTTTTGATGGGCTTTTATGATAAAGGTAACCTGAATCGTCCTTTTCAGCTAAGCAGCTTTTTTTCTATGTTGGCTCATTTGTGATTTATTACAGTGAAACTCGAAGATTGTAGAAAATCGCGGATTAAAATTTATGTTCGCTAAAGGCGGTGCGTTTTCGGGATAACACTTCATATTATTCCTAAATCACGTTACAAATCGTTTTTACATTTAAAATAAAGAACTTCGCTTTTAATCACATAAATCTTGTTTGATGAAATTTCTTCATTAGTTATGATAGGGAGACGTTTTCATATTTTTAGTAACGTTAAAGTGACAGACTGACCTGATACTGTACTAACCGCTAACTAGCTTCAAACAAACTACAAATGCGTTGTCATCGTTGAGAACTAAGTTCAAATGCCTTATAGGATGCAATTATGGGGGCTCTATAAACTATTTAGAATACCATATAGTTCAGAATACTGCATTCATGCGATAAAACATCATATTTCCAACTAGTAGCTTGCTTGTAATGAAAAGGAGGTTCCCATTGCATATTAAAATACACAAAGTTTACAAAGGATGATAAATACCAAAAATTTATTTGACAGATTTTTCGTCGTTATAATCTATAGTTATCGACTACTAAGCACATCCTCCACCAAGTTCATTTTGATGACCACTGTTTCAGACGCGTCGCAGAATGATGATACCTGCATTTGAGATTTGCATGTTTTTTCAGCTATGCAGCTCTAATAAGATCAGTATCACTGCAACCTTTTTTTATGTGGTAGAGCCACGCTGCAGCTATATTACGGTTGTAAGTTGTAGTATGAATTGGTCGGCTCGACTGGGGAAGGACCACTCTATCACAGAATACCAACGTAAAATGGCAAATCAATGCTGCTGTAATTGTAGAGAACCTGAGACCCTTTTAACTGGAAATGAGGCATTTCATCTTAGTACTTACGAGTGACAACTCATCTGCATTTTAATTCGTAATCGAGGATAGATGTAGATGTCTATTGGCCACAGCAACCACTTACCATCAGATGGACTGTCTGCTCGTGTGTCACGCTATTCTATTAAAAAACTCCTGGGTTGTTTCTCTCCTTCGATACTCACGGGACGATATGGGCTAGTGGATATTCTAATACGGTCTATTCAGATTCGTTCGTTTCTATTGAATTCACGGCACTTACCATACTGATTCGTCTACTTAGTTGAATACGAGTCAAACAGTTACAAAGTATTAGTTAAAGGGCTAGTACCTTTTTAACATTTATTCCCTAAGGCTTCGTTCACCATATTTCATCTTTTGGTAAACATCTTTCATTGTTGACTTATAACGCATTCGAACCAAATGGCTTGTTTCATCATTGATTCATAACCAACGATGAAGCACAGCAAAGGAGTGTATATGTTTCCAGGATGTCTTTCCATCCGATTATAATGTGAATTTCTTCAAGGCAAGAGTGAATAGGCTTTTGTGAATTCAGCGCACTTTACCATATTTGGCTGCATCAGGATAAACTTACGATCAGGCTAAGAATGGTGAAAAGAATAT